ACACACACACACACACACACACACACATACAAAAGAAGGCAAAAAATTTAGCAGTTTAACACCTTTACTAATCTTTGTTTTCTGTAGTGCCAGCCAAGGCCTGCCTCTGGGTAGAAATGCAATAATTGTGTTAAATGTGCTAAATGACTATGTAATAGTAACATATCACAATGAGGTATTTGCTTCCTGGAGTCACCATTCACTAAGATACGCTCCTGCTACCTGAGTAGCTAATAGTGTAGCTTCTAGTGGAAAAACATGAGCCAACAAGTCACTGGGATAAAGACACATCATTAAGCCTGAAGTGTGCATGTATGTATGTGTGCAAGAGAGAGACAGACAAACAGAAACACAGAGACAGAGACAGAGAGAGCAGAAAGAACACACTTTTAGAGGCAGAAAGCATATCAGCTCTAAGCCTGTGTGCTTAGAAATGAATCTTGCCGGGGCTGGGGATTTAGCTCAGCGGCAAAAGCGCCTGCCTGGCAAGCGCAGGGTCATGAGTTCGGTTCCCGGTACCGGAGAAAAACCAAAAAAAAAAAAAAAAAAAAAAAAAAAAAGAAATGAATCTTGCCTTGCTTCCATCCTTACAGGTTCCTCTGGCCAAGTGATCCTTCTTTGCCTGTCCCCTTCCTCTATAAAATGGGTATATGATAACAGTCCTGGGATCATAGAACTTTTGTGAAGATTAAATGAACTAATGCACATGTATAAAGTGCCTCAAAGTTGCCTCCTACTCTGTTCACGTGAACTCTTATTCCTACCGCTGCCATTTCCTCAGTCAGCCTTGAATGAATCATTCAAAGGCAGACAAGCAGCAGATGGTTGTTGCTGGGAGAATAAGCGTTGTGGTTGGGGCTAGAGTGACACAGAAGGGCAGGCACAGCAGGGAGAGGAGAATGGTTGAGTTTGACTGGGATGGGGGATACTGGACAAGTGCAGAAACAGAGCGAGAGGGGGCGGAGGGAAGGATGTGAAGTTACTGGTCACACAGCCTCTGATGTCACTATGCTTTCATTGCTTTTACTAGTGCATATGTGTGGTATATAAGGATTCCAGTCACTGTGGGGAGTTGGTGTACATAACACATCTTTGCTCTTTTTATGTCCCCTTCCCCTTCCTGCTTTCATCTGTTGATCTCTTTCCTGTTTGCAAGAGACTCCTTGCTTCCTATTATCTGTATCTATCTTTTATTTTGCCCCTTGATTTATACATATTTTGAGTTTCTTATATAAGAGGAGCCATGCGTGATTGAAGCTTGTGTGTCTGATTTATTTCACCTAGAGGTCAGTGTCCTGGCAGCAGGTGCTGTGTGCAGCACGGATGCAGGCAGGGAACCTCTAGCACAGGTAATTTTACACCATGGGGAGGGGGCTCGATTTACCAAATTTCTCCCTGAAAAAGGGAACCAGAAAAGTGACAGAGTGAAAAGAATTGAAAGGTGAAATAGGTAGGCATGGGTGAGGGGGGCAGGTGGTCATATGAAAGAGGGGTTAGATTATAGGTAATTTTGAATTATGGGATGGCATCCACTAAGTGGAGAGGTTAGAAAGACAGCTTCTGTCCTATGAGGATGGTTTTATGGCCACACAGACCCTGTATAAAGGGACTGTGAGGGTGAAGGTCTTTCTTGGGGGAATCTTGGCCAGTGGTGGTGGGGGTTCAGGTGGTCCATGTTGGTCTGGGGACTTCTCCCTGTATGGGACCATGTTGTCTGAGGCTTGTGTCCTGCCAGGCACTTATGCAGATGTGACCCCAGACAGCATGTTTTATAATATTGTCCAGTTGTATCCCTTCCAACCCCATTCCCAGCATGCAGTTGTGTCATTTTATCCCTGATGATTTCAGTGCAAACTTTAGGTTGGGGCCGTACTTGAAGGCTGTTCAATAGTGTCAAGCCACTGACCTCTGAGAATCCAGGCCCATAATCACGCTATATCTAAGGTTCTCAGACTGTACCAGCCATTATTCTTCCTTCTGGAGGATTTAAAAGCTCAAGATGCATTCTTTAAGATTCACTGGTACATGGTCTAGAAGGCAGCTGGAGACTTGTCATGCACGGTGCACAAGCCTGTGGGCTCCGAAGACCACAGTGACATCAGTCTTTCCACAGAAAGGAGGAGAACCTGAGGAATGGACTAATTTCTGCGAAACTCAGCCGAATACCCTTGTGGGATGCTGACTTCCCCCACTGCCATGCCATGTTGGACGGTGCAAAATAAACACCCCACACAGAGTCACTAATTGCTTCATTTATTTTCCATTTATCCAGGGAAATATCAGAGTGTATTCTGTGTCAGGATGGAAAATTACACTTTGGAGGGAAAATAGCCATGGTGACGGATGACCATGAACTTCAGGTTTGTTTCATTCACATATTTTATTTATCCAGTGAAGGAAGGAGGAAGAAAAAGGAAAAAAAGGACAGGACTCTTAAGGTGGCACATATTCTGACAGAACACTAAGGTCATACCTTTCGTTTTCCTCAGCCCAGTTTAATTGCACAGATTAATCAAAGTGCATGGTATAAGAAGGAGATCTTGCTGGAGAATAAAACATCTTGGAACAAAAATCTCTTTTGAGGTTAATATCTCCTAAGGGTTTCTTACTTGAGGATGTTTACTGGTGTCTTTATAAAAATATGATAGCATTGTATAAACTGCTGTGGTTGCGTATTTAAAGGTCCATCATGTAGGATTGCAAACTCAGTGATTTCCAGGGGTCCAGTTCTGAAAAAACCCATCACGGTGACAGCCACAAGCTAATAAACCTCCTTGATGGGGAGACTTGAGGACATACAGCAAAAAATTAATGGCTGGTATTTGAGCAGGGCAGGTCCTTAGACTCCCATTCCATAGATGGGGAAGGTGAGACCTAGGAAGCGAACAGATTCCTGCAAATCACACAGTTAGGTAGTATGAATTCAGATTTCTTGGGTTTTCAATACAGTGCTTTCCAGGTACCGCATAAACATATACTTTCAATATTAGTTTTTTTGCTACCAAAATTCTAAAGTTGGCAATTTCAGCTTTTTAAGTGAGAAAAGAAAATCTGAAGAGTGCACAAAGGTTTATGGAGAACACTGATACATTTGTGTCTAATCTCTGGAACTTCATGGCACGATGTAATTAAAAGACAAATATTGAGACCGAAATCAGAGAACTCTAGGTTTCTGTGAACACAACATGACCATATCTTACACACGGAGAGACACGGGTAGAAGACAGCACCACCCAGGAAGGAGTAGAAAAACCAACTATCAGGAAACAAAATGGACCACGTTAGCTGGTCTGAATGGTTGAGCACTTTAAACAACACCAGAAATCAGACAAGGTCACAACATCCGAAAGAGAAGCTCCGGGGGGCTCCTGGTAGGCACAGAGCACCTGCCTGAAGCAGCTGGATGCACTGGGCGGGTGATTGTGGCACAGCTGTCACATCTAGACCAAGCACATATGAGCTCCCTCCTATACTCTGTGCCCCTTGGCAAACAGCCCAGGGTGGGCCATCATCAAATCCATGTCATCTCAGAAGCCAGCACTCCTTTTCCCAAGGTGTGTGAGCCACAAGGGGGCAATTTGGGTGGAGAAGGCTTCAGGTTGCCGACAGAGGCTGGACATTTTGAACCTTGGACAAAGTGACTGGAATCTTTGTCTCCCCTGGGCCTGGAGCTTTACTAATGGGCTGGGTGTGGGCCTTGATATCTGCGATTCGCTCTTTAAACTTTTGCTGAAGGAATTTCTCTTCTTTGGAGTAGCTTTTGGCAAACACCGACATCAGCAAGCACCCCGCCATGGACGTGCCCCCAATGCAGAACAGCACAGCCCCTGCCAGCTTGCACATGTCAAGGGCACTATTAAACTGCATGGCATGCGAGTCAACCACCACAAAATCCGCTTCTCCAAAGGCTTCGATTTTAGGGGGCACAAGAAAGCCCACTGCCAGAACAGTTAATCCAAGAATCACGAAGATCGTGCCGGAGATGAGTCCGACCTAGAGAAAGAGGATGACAGAAGCAAGATGCATAAGTGAGGCCCAGTCTTCCCCTCAGATGAAAAGTAGGAATATTCCCAACCAACCAAATCTGTGTGAAAAACCTTCTTTATTTTCTAGTTAAAAAGAAAATGGATCTTAACACCAACCGGAAGCTGCAGCACTGGATCTTCAGTGTTTTCAGTTGGTACCATTTTGTGGGGGAGAAACCCTCCTTTGCTGACATTGCCTAATTGATCTCAGGGATTAGAAAAGCAACCCTGATGGTCAGAAGCTGGCCTGATGAAATCCTGGGGCTGGGTGTTGTTCAAGCCTACCTTGGAGCCACGGAAGACCTGCCATTCTTCTCTTGGGCTAATCTCACAGAACATCTGCTCAGACTAGCTCATTCTGTGAGGAGGACAGAGTGGACAACACAAGGCGATCGTGTGATCTTGTCTAGCACATACGCAAACAGGGTCAGTGTGCAAGTCATAAAATACCAAACACCTGCCTCTCCTGGTGAATGCTAGTCACTGCTTCTGCTCTAGCCTTTGTAGCTTTTATGTCACAACAATTGGCTTTCCCTACATAAAAGACTTATCAAATATCCAATTGTAGACTTGTCCCTGAAAATCCAGGGTGGACTCTCATGTCCTTAGATCTTTCTTCAAGTCACTTAACCAAAACCCCCTTCTATATTTCATCCCTTCTCATTCTTTCTCTCACTGGGCCCTTAAGGTATCATGCTCTTTGTCAGAAATGGGTAATAAACTCAATCTATTTAACACATAGATATGTACCGTGAGTAGATGTGTCTCTGGTAGTTCTGCCAGGAGGACATTGTCAATTCTTATTGCTATTGACTCCATTTCCAATAAGTGGGGAAGGAACCATATTGGGCAGTTTATAACTGGACCTGAAGGAATATTCTTATGACATATGACCAAAAACTATGATGAGTAATTCAATTGAAATCTTCTAAAATTTAAAGATTCACTGAACTTTTTAACCATACCCTGTACATATAGCACATGCCCTTACCTGTAGAGGGTGAATCACCAGGCCAAAGATACATGGCTGGCAAGTTGCCAAGGTAGGTCTAGCAGCCCATGAGCTGGCTTCAGCCCCAGGTCCTGTCACCTCCTCTCCTGGATAGCTATGTGAGGTGTGCATATGCACATGCTTTTCCACCCAATGTTAGGAGTAGCAGATGAAGGACAGATGGCATAAGGTTCCAATTCTACTGGAATGAACACACTAAGAGAAGTGAACTGACACACTATTTGATGGTTGGAACTCCTATGTTTGGAAGAGCAGACTCAGTCTTGAGTACAACACAGACACTTGGTATGTGACTGTTATGGTTTGTGTGTGCTTGTCGCCCCAAATCTTCGTGCAGTCATGGGGCAGGCTTCTAGGATTATGGGTATGAGTGCTGTACTGCCCTAGGGTGGATAGTTTGCATATGTAAGGGATAGGAAGAGGCTCCTTACCACCACTCCTCCCCTTTCTATGCTTGCTGCCTTTGCTATCTACCACCACCATGAATCTTTGCACTCTGCCATGTGCCACTCTGCCTGGGAACCAGCCAAGTATGGACTGAAACCTCCACAAACAGTGAGCTAAATAAACCTTTCCTTCCTTCATGTTGGGTGTCAGGTATTTTGTCCCAGCAACGACAGAAAAGTAACCAAGACAGTGACTTATGGGAGGAAAGTTGTTGAAATGCTGTAATCATTGATTTTCTCATGTGCAAAAGACAAATGGTAATTGTACCTACCTCGGAGAGTTGTTGTAAGCATTAAAAAAGGCCATGCATGAAAGCACTTGGCCTTGTATTTGGCTAATTAATGAATGTTAATAAGCATTTATCATTATTAACATTTGGAAATACATCCCTTGTAAAATTCTTATGCTACTCTGGCAACAGCATTAAAACAATTGCTCAGCATCTGGAACAAAGAATATCTAATATAGTTATTAATTTCTTAAACAATTTTTTTCATTTTCTCTTGTATGTAATTGTTATTAGAATAATGGGGTTGGAAAAATGATGAAATACATAACCAAACATATAACACCATTTAATCTTGAATATTTAGAATGTATGTACTTATTTCATAAATTTTAGGGGTAATACACTAATAAAGGGAGTTTGATCAATAGAAGGAAAATACATCCATAAACCCATCTCCCTAGGAAAGGGAACTAGTGTTATTGTGACCTAGGTATAGTACAATTTGTGGTTTCATGCAGTCTTTATAAACATCTTATGAGAGGTAGTATCTTTATTTTCATTTCATGTGTCAAAAACTGAGGTTTATTTGGCCAAAGAAGCACTGGTCAAGGTCCTACAGTTAGCAGGTGGTATGAGCAAGTTTTACTTCAGGTCTGTCCAACTCCATCTGCCACTTTTCTTCTACACAGTATACCCTGCCAATTACTATTTTGCATATTTCTTTCCTATTAATTTTGTTTTCATTTCAAAAGGGGTTTTGAAATGTAAATACAAGGACAAATTTTCTCTTGTGGAATATTGTCAGGAAATTAAAAATTAAAATTAAAGTGATGTCTTCTAATAAAACAGAGACTGATCTACAGAAGACTAGTACTGCAAGAAAGACTCTATAACACTGTGGATTGCTTTCTGCATTTTCTAAAAATAGTGGCGAGTAATTCCACCTTCAGAGGCTAACCATTATTTATAACTTCTTAAAAATGACTCACATCGGAAAACTGAAGGAGCAAATTAAATTAACTTAGATATCCATGGTGACAAACTTCCTATGTTGCTAAATTACTCCCTTCCTCAAGAGCTGGCACTAATTCTCAAAACCAAGGGCAGCAGGATGCGATTCATCTTAGTACCTGAGCTTCTGAAGAGCACGTGAAGACCGTGCTCTCAGCCCTGGCTTTTGTCTTCTCTCCCCACAGCTTCCTTTTTGGCCCAAAGTACTATAAATAGTCCTGACCCACAGACTCCAGGGTCCAGACTGCTGAACGTGGAACCTGGTGATTGATTCTTAGCACAGTCCGTTCTTCTTTGTTTGAGCTGCGTGTTGTATGGAAACCCACTCTTGGAATATGACTCAGAAGCTAAAAGGCAAACAGGGCTTGCAGATGGCAAGACTCCTGCTCACTTTGAGAACCAGAAACAGGTGGCCCCCCTGTTTCCTATTTCCTATTTCTGTCAGAGTATCCCAGGAAGAAGGGGGACAGTGCAGTGGATACTGACTCTGAGCTCAAGGCTCATGGGGACCTCCAGGCGTGGTGCCCATGGAGGGCCTCCAACCCTCTTAAGGCGGTCAGGGAGAGCTTGGGCTGGTACGTATGAGGGACAAAGACCAGGAGGCTGCTTCTGAACCTTCCTGAGCCCATCGTGGAGGTGAGGAGGGCAGTTAGGATGCACCACTTTAATCTTGGCACCGTCTTGGAATGGTGGAAGGGATAAAGACTTGGGGAGTGACTCCCTTCAGCATCATAAACATTATCTTCAGACACCGCACTAAGTTGAAGTAGTCTTGGGTCTAAACGGAGGAGAGCTCTTTTAAATTGAGAGTAAGTAAAACTGCGCAAGGGAGATCATTTAAAGGGTGAGGAGAGCAAAGCAGCTCTCTGTGCAGGGCCATGTTAAGGGGCTGGAATGCTGCAGTAAGGTCAACCCTAAAGTGAGTCTAAGGACCTTGCCAGGTCATGACAAATTCCAAAGCAGCTGCAGGCCAGTGTTGGGGCTGTGACTTTTGAAGTCTCTCCTGGCTTGGGCAGAGGGTATGTGAAAACTCAGTTCCTGCCCATGGAAAGAGGGATCAGGTAGGAAAGAAAACTCAAGTTCCTGAAATCCTGCTGATCGGGGCTGCAAGCGGAGATGGCTGTTATTTGGAGCAAGCCCCCTCTGCTGGTCCTCTGTGGGATGGGGTCTGGGAATGAGCTGACTCCAGCAAGCTAAGTGAAGCCAGCAACAGCAGGCGCAGCTGTTCTGGCAATGAAGAGCAGTAATGACTGCTGGAAGCGGGAATTACAAGGAAGGGGAGAGCTGCCTGTGGGGGGCAGGCTGGCTGGAGCTGGAATAGGAGCCATCTGGCTTGGAGGTTATTCAAGGGAAGTGCCTTGAGAGGGAAGACTGGATGCTTCTGCGTCAGCCCTGCAGCCTGCTCGTGACTTCCTCACAGGCCGTGAGCTGAGTAGTGGTGTCTGCTGCAGTGAGTTTTATGAACACTAAAGTCTGGGTCCTGTCTCACACCTGACTCTGTTCCCCAGTCTTCCTCCTCCTGGGTAGTGGTGTCTCCCATCTGCTTTTCCTCCTCACAGAGACCCCTTCTGTTCAGGTGTCCCCTGAGGCTTGGTTTCAACACCTACTTTTATCAACCACTTCCCAATCTCCAACTCCAGCCTGGCCTGCAGTGCTGAGTTCTAGACCACATGTCTGTCCGGGGGTGAGGGGATCGACAGAGGTCCCAAAGACTCCTTGAACCTGAATATTTGCAACGAGGCCCTACAGCCCCTTCCCTAGCTCTCTGTGTTCCTCCCACTCACCCAGTCATAGTCTTTCCTCACAGTCACAGGGAACAGACTGTTAAATCTTATTGATTCGACCTCTTATGATCCTCTTGGATTTTTCTTCTTCTTCTCCACTTCATTTGTTAGTGACACAAGCCATCATTCCATCCAGCCTCGGTCACTCACTGTCAGCATTCTAAGCTCCCCAACTTCTCAGACCTTTCTTCAAGTGTCATCTGAGAAAACTTGTAAAAACAGAGATAAGCTGGGCATGGTTGCACATGCCTTTATCACAGTGCTCTAGGAGGCTGAGGCAGGAGGATTGCAAGTTCAAACCAAACTTGGGCAAATTAGCAACTTAGTGAGATTATATCTCAAAAGCAAAAGAATTTTAAAAAGGGTCAAGGCTGTAGCTCACTATGAAAGTTTTGGGTTCAATACCTAGTCCTGTAAAGCCAAACCAAGTCAAGCCAAACCAAATCAAACGAAGCCAAACCAAGCCACCACAAAACAAAAAACAAAAAAAGTGGCAATTATCTCATGGTTTTCCTGCTTAATAGTCTTCCTCAGCTCTTCTGAGCCATTTCTGAGATGGGATGAAGGGAAGGAAAGGAGGATGGTGATGTTGAGGTGAGGAGAGAAGGGCTGTGAGTGAGAAGGCTGTTTGGTATCTGTAGGTTGAAGCTGTTTGCTGCATGGATAATCAGGTGTCAAGTGGCTATGGCCTTAGCCAACATGAAGAGCAAAGAGAAGAAGGAAAAGAAAACCTCACCATCTTGGGCCGCAGCGATGAGTGGTTACTGCAGCCAAATCCCATGGAATTTCAGAGATGGGAGCAGCTGTAAGCATTGGGATAAACTGGAGGTGGCTGAGACAGTACACATCTGGTGTGTGTGTGTGTGTGTGTGTGTGTGTGTGTTGATATCAGATTATGAGGCATTCCCTTGAGCCCCCAGGAAGATTCAAATTTATTATTTTGACCCTCAAGTTGAGGGTTCTGGAGCCATTTCTATTGCAGAGCTTTTCAAATTCCCTCTGTAACCCAGCTCTTGTTTGTGTTTCTAGTCCATTTCTGATTCTCTTCCCAAACCTGTGAACAGTTGTTGCACCATACGGCACTGTAAGTAGTCCCCAAATGTGCCAGACTCTCTTACCCAGCATCCTAAGCTGGCATGACATTCCTCTCTCCTGGGACATCAACTCATGCTTGTGCACATGAGGTTTCTTCTGTAAGCTGCTTCCTCTTCAGCCTGCACCAGACATACACTCCTCCCTGTCCCTCAAACCCTGGGCTCCCAGTAAGTACTGTGACTACTTTTAGGAGAGCATTCAGCACACTCCATTTTAAAAACCTGTGTCTCTGTTCACTTCCCCTATTTTACTGTGACTCAATAAGATTACCTAAAAAGATCACTTAATAAGATCACTTATAAGAGGTGAAGAATACATCTTGTATTCTCTAGTACATGGTGAAGAGTTAAACCTATGTAGAAAGAAGAGTACTTTGAGATAGGTGTTTTGCACAAGCACATGATAGAGAATCAGTGTAACGGAGGCCCATTGAATCCAATCTCTGTTCTCATCAAACCCTTTCACATGAACCTTTGCTTAGAAGCTCAAAGGCAGAATCCTACTGAGGTACTGTGAGCTCAGTCCCCAGAAACAGACCAAAGAACCCTAGCATGGAGCCACAGTGGAAGAGAGGAAAGGGGCACCAGCAACTTCAACCACCTACAGATGCAATGTGAAATGAAAGAAAACATTAAAAAGGACCATAATAAAAACATTCATAACTGGTTCCTTTCTCTCTGTCAGTACAAAGCATATTATAGACTACTCGAATGAATTCACACATAATCCCAAGGAGGAAGCCAAGAACCATCAGTTTATTTCCTTGGTAGAGAAAAGGTCTCCAGTGCAGTCAATCCTTAGATTACTCAGCCTGACACTATGGTGCTGGTGGCTAATGATTAAGATATGGATCAAGATTTGTTTTTTTTCTGGAGTGCAACCTTTATGAGGGCACAAACTTTGCACTTTTTTCTCTAACACAGGTCTACTACTTTAGGCAATAAATACTTTTGGATCTTATTTGTGTAAAACAGAAGGGAGAAAATATTACAATCTGAATGAGATAATTGGTGATTTACTGGGAATTTTATGACTATGCACTGTTTGATGGGTTTAACAGCTTCACAATCACACAACCACCAGTATTTTGGATCTGCATGAATTCTCACAATATTCCGTCAGTGACCACAGCATTTAAGGTTAACATATCTCTATCTATCTATCTATCTATCTATCTATCTATCTATCTATCTATCATCTATCCATCTATCATTTAACTGTATCTTTTATGTCCACACTCTCTTCCTAGATGATCTATCTCAACTAGTCTGATACATTTTAGGTATCAGTAGCTTCTACTCCGGGAGCTGCATATTGATACATTAATGGACTCTAGAGAGAACTACTTGGGTATCTAACAAGTATTTTCAATGAAGCACAGCCAGAGTCACACTTGTGCATTCTCCTGGTCCCTCTCCATCCTAGGAAACCACAACACTATTCATTACACAGCTTTGGCTGGAAGTCTGGACTCATGATTGACTCCTCTTTCTCTCCTGCTCCAAACCTAGTTCATGAGCACATCCTGGCTGCTTTGCCTTCAAACCTTATGGTAAATTAGACTACTTTCCACCCTCTCCACTAATGGCACCCTAATCTAAGCCACCAAGATCTCTTCCTGGGTATTTTAACAGCCTCTGACTTAATCTGGCTGCTTTGACTTTTGATTTTCTTTAATCTGTTTTCTGTACTGCAGCCAGAAGGATCTTTTTAAAGTATTAATGTGCTGCTTATCTTTGGGTGGCTTCACCTGTCTGTTGAAGTAAAAGCTTAAGTCTTCACTGATGTCTACAAGACTCTGCAGAAATCACCTATGCCCTGGTAGATATTTTTCTGAATTCATTGCCTCTCTCTTTTCTTACTCCATTCCACCCAAACTGGATCTCTTCCTCACCCACTTCAGACCTTTCAGACTTGCTGTTTTTCCCAGCCTGGAATGACCTTCAGCCAGCTAACTTTAGGGTCTGTTTCCCCTGCTCCTCATGGCCATGTATTCATATTCCATATCTTCTGAAGGGCTTTCCCCCTCAGCATATCCAAATTCCAGTCCCCATTATTCTCTGTCCTCTTATCCTGACTGATTGCTCTTTATAGCACTTGACACTACCTGACCTTCCACTGTGGACTTTATCTGCTTATAGTGGTTTCCCAGGACAGGCTGCAAGGCTCAATGAAGGCAAGGATGTTTTCTTCGCTTATTTACCACTTTAATCTCTAGGAACTCAAGCTCTCTGGCACGCAGTGTGTGCTCACTAATTATCTGTTGACAGAATGAATCCACTGTTTAATGGGCACCTTAGAGAGCCTCAGATCACAGAGCTAGTATCTGACCACTCTACCATGTCTTAACATTTGCTTTCTTTCAATACCTAATTATTTCTTTTTGATAACTGTTGCAATTTTTCAAATGATGCCTATGAAGCTTGTAAGGTAGGCTGAAAGAATATGATGTTTGCCTATGGGTGGCTTCACAGTTGGTGAATTTAGTGACACATGAATAACATTAACAATAATAATAATTACTGTGGGAATTGTGCCTACTCATGTTTAACCTGCTCAGCAACAATTATGTTGTGCAGAGAGGCTTCCTTTGGCCGAAGGTTTAGCTTCTTTTTTCCTGAAAGATGGAAGATGCATTCAGGGTTGCCACGAGTGGCACACACACTTACAGTACCAAACCACTCAGTTCTCTATAGCAGCAGTATTTGCCTTGTCTGATATTTTCCCCATTGTCAGAGTCAAACAAATGCTTTTTCCTCACCTTCCAGAATACTGAGCTCCACCTGTTAGGTGACCTCTGGATCTGAAAATCATCCTCATACTCCCAGATGGAGGCTGTGCAGTCTTCATAGAACTGGTGCAGGTAGGACCGCACACCATAGCGCTGGTACCCACCCTCGGCAGGTGCCTGTGCTTGCTTGGACCCACAGATGTTGCTGCAAGAACTCATTCTTCCCAGCTGAAAAGACAGCATCCACATAGATAAGTCCCCTGGGGTCTGGCCGGAGCATCAGAAGACATATTAAGGGCGGGGGGAAAACCAGGCTGAGTCATGGCAGCCTCCTTGAACAGTGCTCCTTTCTTCAGAGAAAAAGAAAAACACTTTTCTGGTTCTCCATAAACGAAATGGGTCACACAGCATGAATGGCTTAAATTACGTAAAAATATAAGCACAGGATATAAGAGAGATTGCAAAAAAAGGGCTGAGGCTTTCATTGCCTTAACAAAAAACTTTTACTCTCTTAGAGTAAATATTACATTTATACACTAAAGACTCAAGCAGATACTCCCAGATTTTTAGCCATGGTCCCTTGTGGAATCTACATGGGGTTACTCTTAGCAGTTTGAGATTTGCCTTCAGATCTCATGTATCTTCCTCTAACTTTTTAACTAATTGTCAAGCTGTACAGAAGTTTTATTTAAAAATTGTCAAGCAACTTAAGCTTCATGCTTTACTCATCACAAATGGCCAGGCCAGTAATTTACACTTCCCTAATCCTAACAGCATAGATCTCAGTTATCATCTGTCCACGTGGGTGGTGAGAATGCGCTGGAGACAGCAGACGCAGCCTTTTAGTATTTCCCAGGGTGCCTAGTATAAAAAAGAGGTCGGAAAAATTTTGAATGAAACTATGCTCTGAGTGGGCAGCTTGAGGCTCTTATCTTTTTCACATGGAAATTTCAACTTAATTTGACCTAAATGATACCATTGAAGAAAGGCATTTCTGTAGATTTCATTAATAATTCATGATCAAAAAAGAAGGAATTTCGAAGGGGCAGTCATTTTGGGGAGAAGGGAGTTCTCAGTTACCTTTTTGTTTGTTTTTTTCTGAGGCTGGATTGTGCTATAGTCCAGGTCAACAGAAACATATTAAATGTTTCCAATTACTTAAATAAGAAACCAACTAGGGATGTTTGTCAATAATGGAAAACACTGACCAATGGTTCTATCAAATGTCCCAGCGTGGCCACTGAGTTTGATTGGGCAGAATCATGGGACTGGCAGAGACAACCTTCCCTGCTCCTGTGGGCACACAGTGAACCCAAAAGAACATCTCATAAATGTGTATTTGTAGCCACAAATGGTTAGAAAGTAGATCAAATTCAAGACGATATGGTCCTAATGTAAGAAAAATGATGCAAGCAGGTGGTACTGAAGGTAGCCAATTGTCCCCTTCTTTTAGCTGCTAGTCAGTGTTACACTGGAGGGCTGCACCTTCTTTTCCCAGATACATCTGCAGTCTAGAAAAATCACCCAAGAAGAGAGAGAAGTGGAGATAATGTACTTTTTGGGTGAACTTTTAAACATTCAGAAGAATATTATTTCACAATGTCAAGATTTTAAGATGTACTTTGGCTGACTGGAGCAGCAATGCCTGACAGATCAAAAGAATGTTGCCTTATTTTCTTATCTTGAGTGGTAGGATGAGATCTTCAGTACTTTCTAGTTAATGCTTGTACAATGAAGATGATTAATAAGAGCCTATTACCAGTGATATGTAAGTATAATAATTTAAAAGCCACCCTCAAGATATTCTAATAAAAATTCACCTAAGGAAAGATGCCGTTAGTGTTACTAACTATGCTTTGTCACTGAGGAAACCGAGGCATAGAGGAATCATCTTGATAAAGGTTATGCTGTGAGTCAGGGAGGAGGTGAAAGATGAAAATTAATATAATAAGCAGGAACAAGGACTGAATCATATACTGGCACAGTCAGAACGAACTCATCAAATATATATATATATATGTATATATATATATTTTTTTTTCAGGTTTTCTATGAAGCATCAGAGGCTTTAACATGAAAAAAGAACAAAAATAGGGATAAAAACATTCCTCATGGCAGCAGTGGCTGTTATCTTTCCTCAGCACTGAGGTCTAGCTTCCTCAGGACTGAGCTTTGATGCAGAGCTCCTGCATGTGTCCACTGATACATGGTGTTCAATCCCAGCACAGCTGGCTTCTGGCAAAGTAGGTTAAATTCTTCTGCTTTATAAACTGAGAGTTAGTAATTCAACCTTTAAAAAAATGAGTAAAATAAAAAAAGTCATAAAAATATCACAAAACAAATGTTTTTGAGCCTGAGCCTTTACTCTAAGTCAGAATGGCATTTACAATGTTAGGTACATTCAGGAGGAGGAACACGGAAGTCCTTTTCTTTATCCTTCAGGGATGTGAAGCAGGAACAAGAGCATAGCCTGCGCTGGGCTAATGCACGGAGCACAGAATGGAGTCGAATGGCAGTTTCTGATCTGTAATTTATGGTTCATGAGATTGCAGACAAGCTCATGAATCTCTTTGATCTATCGCTCCCTTGCCCTTAAAAATAAGATGATTGGGCCAGATTGACCTCTTATTCCTTTCCAATGTAGTTTTCTAGGATTTTTTCTTTTTTTTGGCTACAAAACTACAGAATGAGTCAGTGACTTTCTATTGGATGAACAATAGATTTCCCACTTCCTCCTGCGTCCTCATTGACTGTCAGCTCCAAACTCTTAGTTCAGGTATGTATAAAGCTTCAGTTTAAAGGTGAGTGTAGCCTACTAGTTAGGGTAGTTACTTGCTATTCAGTAGGTTGAATGTCTGTATATCGCTTAAACATATAACTTCAGTATCATATATGTTACCTAAAATAGTAGTCCCTGGGTATCTGAGAAGATTCATACATCTTTCTAAAGATATAACTAGTTGAGACTCACTCCTAGAGGAAAATGAGCCTTTAAAGTAAGTGAGTTTTAAAAGATAACATGTTGGAATACTAGTTATGGATAGTAACTTGACTTTAGAGAATGCAGCAACTTTTTGTTCCAATGCAGAAAATATTATACTTGGAATGTCCTTGGTCTACTGCCACCTCTGGTGTTGTCAAGAGGAAACATGAGGTCACTTCATAGTCACTTTAAGAGGCAGGCAATTCTTAACTGGTGCACAGTAAACTAGGACAGAGACAGATGAGGAAGGTCAGGCAAAGGCTTTTCAGTATGGCTCAGCATTTTCTTACTGAGCAAGGTTTCTCTAGAGTTTGGAGGCTGTGTCTCAATGGCTGGGAAGCAGCAGCTGTACCAGTAATGACAAATACATGACTGTAGCTAATGGCCAGTCTTAGCAGGCTGCTTCCTTTAGGAAAGACCTTAACATTCCAGGAGATAGATAACTGGAGGGTGACTAGCATTTCTTAGGTGTACTTAAGTTAGTCCATATTAGCACACATTTTATAGCTGTTTGCTGGAGCCTGTGGCATCCTCCCTGCAGGCCTTGGATCATGGTGCAGCACAAATATCCGTGAGGGGTGCTCTGATCTCTATGAAAGGGAAGATGTTTTCATTCTCTGTGGAGGTCATTCTGGGAGCTGTTAAAGGAAGGTCCATCCATAGTTCCATCTTTGTATTATCTGCCAATAGCAACTATCTCACTTGCATGCACAGTAGTGCATTTAATGAATATTCAGTCCTTAGCAATATAGCACACCTGTTGGATCCCAGAGACCCCTGGAAAGAAAATACCATAGTGTAGTTCTCTTCCCACATTCTTCTGAGAGGTTTTCTGCAATTAGTGTATCTAAAATTTGGTGAGCCATTGCTCTTCATCCTCTTGTCCACATCTGTTTCTCTTCATAACATTTGTTACTACTTGATATTCTAAGGGTAGTTTATTTGTCTGTAGTCTAATAGAAATACACATGACAGACTATAAGCTCCATGAAGGTAGGGAATTTTTCTATCTTGTTAATTTCTTTTATCTCCAGAACTTTGAAAGTTCCTTGTACAGAGTCTTAAAGGGGTTAATGAGGAAGATAGCTTGAGTAGTCCCTCATTTTTCAATTCCTTCCTTCTTTCAATGTTTTCACAGTATGAACTATGGGTGGGATGATGGCTACATAGATGTGAATTCCAAATAACTATACCTCTGGGAATAAGTGTGACCCTAGGGGTTACTATTTTGGGCAACAGATGCTAAAGCAATGCATTAAACAAACAGTATACAAACACTCTTAATATAAATACTGAATAGTAAGTAACTTACCTAACTAGTAGCTTACACTTCCCTTTAAACTGCAGCTTCATTTAAAGCACCAGGGAGAAAATAGCTACAAAGTTGTGTGGAGACTTAGGGTGCCTTCAACTGACCCTTGAATTAGAAGGACACATACTCAAGAAGCTATAAATGCACTGAAATGGGCATCAGAAGGAGGCATTCACAGCAGGAGAGAGCTCAAATGCTGAGAATCCCTTGAACAGTTGCTTCACCAGGCAAACAAACCCCTATGTATGTTACTGTGATCACTATGCATACCAACATGCCATAGTACCAATGTGCTGGAAATCTGAACTTCAGCTGAATGCAGTACATGCAGTTTGTTGTTTACTGTAAAAATGCTCATAGCCATGAAAACGGAAATAAGTATTTATGCCTCATGAGACTCTAAGAACACCATTGACTTTACATTATTTGTCCTTGTGGTCTCCTTGAGAGATGAGAAGCTGCAAATTGAGGCACAGAACGGATGAGTGTTTTCCCAGGGCTCTATGTATGAGTCAGTTGTGAGGCCTGGTTCAGGCTCGGTTCTATTTATTCACTCTGAAATATTGTTCAATTTTTCATACTGCTTTTCTCTCCCTCTGAACAATTCTGAGATAATGAGAGTGAAGTTCCCATTAAGGCCACTTTTCCACAGGGCCGGGACTGTAAGATACAAGGTACAGGCACATGGACCATTTAGACCACTTATCCAAGTCCAAACCAAGTCCACTGCACTTAAAAGGCTCCACTGAGTCCACAGCGGACACAGGGAGACACAGAAGTCTGCTAACAGCTTCTTCGCTTCTCAGCCAGGCATTTGGGAATTATACTGGTCTGATCTTAAAACCTGAAATGATCTACCAGTGGATCATTTCAGATAGATTTTATTTTTCTAGAACCATTGTAGTGATCATGGTTCTGTAGTATGAGTTTTTTTAAAATGCCCTCTAGGTTAGTGAATAGCTACCTTTAATTTATAAAGGCAGAGTAATGTATAATTATCCTATTCATTACCAATTACTTTAATTCTTTAAGATATATATTTTTACTAACATACATAAAGTCCAAAGCCAAAATGAGAAGACAAAAATAACTTATATTCTCTCTTTAAACCTCTTTATCTACATGGAACCCATAGCTGCTTATGTATCTACATGGAGGTGGAGTCTTACCTTTGAACTGCTTGTCCTCTGCTGTTGTTTACTTTTTAACTTTTCTTTTCAGCAGCACATTCTTCAGTCCTACTTAAGGGAAAAAATGCAGATGTGTTTCAGACCAAAATCTAAATTTCACAAGCTAGTAATATATCTTACAAAAAAGCACTTAATGTTGACAAAACACTGACAGTTTCTTGTTCAAGAGTAGAAAAGTTTTTTTTGTTTAAAATAAAAACCAAGTCTAACTTATATTTTATAACCTTTTAATGGTTTCTTTGTAGAGTAAATATCCCATAAATCTGAAGGGCTTTCTAAACTATAGCACACTGTGGAAATGCTATTTTTATTTTGATATAACCAGATCCCATGTAGTTAATGATACTAACTGGACTGATCCATTTGTACTCTACAAATTCTAAATAGATATTAGCTTTCTAGATACTCCAGAATTGATTTTTATGGGACTTGTTCCATTATACTGTAAAATAAATGAGTGTTATAGTCATTGTGTTTTCTGATATTGTTTCTGACATGTGTTATATCTTTAGTAAGGCTCTTTGGACAATTTACCCATTAGACTTAATTTTACTCTTCTATCCATTTTCTTCCTATCATGATCATTTTACTTTCCATCTGCCTAAGAAAAGCAGGTGCCCGTTCAAAATTTAATTAAGAAGTCATTGCCAGCTATAGCTTCCTACATTATTCTAGTCTTGTGGGATAAAATGTCTGGGGCCGTGGGTGGAGAGAGAGGGAGAGATGTTTAAACATTCTTTCTGGTAGACAGACCCTCATTTTTTCGCTGAACCCGAAATCTCAGGGTAAGTTAGCCTAGCAGAGACCGAACACACTGTTTTCAGCAGGTCTAGAGTCAGTCTATAGAGAGCAAACCTAAGCCTTCTTCAAGACTTAATCCCTTGTCCCCAGAGTTTGAGTGGTATGTGAGCAAATGTGGGAAAAATATTAGAATTCTGGGTCTGGATAAGCAAAGGAAAGTAAGTTTACTCTAGATCACTGCATTCACCACTTTCTCCTGTCTCTTGTCTTTCCCTTTCTTCTGGGGCCTGTCCCTGTCTCTACCCTTCTCTCTGTCTCTTTCAATCAAATGTCCCTTCTTTTAGCTGTCGCCTTCCTGGCTTTGTCTGAAGGAACTTACCCATTCTCGCCTTCAGCCAGCGGCGCGGGCCTGTCTGGAGCCCAGAGAGCTCTCCAAGGTTCTGAAAACATCTCTGCTGGGAGCCAGGAACCAATTAAGCAAACCCTATTTGTTCCACTCCAGCTGTGTTCTCTGAGGTCACCAACCTTGGTCTGACCCCTACCCAACGACCCTTTCTCATAGCACAAAGCAGTAGCTCTTGAGATACAAACAGTCAAAGAACTTCAGACATGGCACGGAACTGGGGAGGGCAAGTGGGGGTTCGATTCAGCCTGGGAAATGAGTCAAATCAGCTTCACACATTCCAAATATACTTTCTGTTTTATTCTTACCTAATGTAGAACTTTTTTCGTCTCCCAGGAAGGAAACTCTTAAGTTTTTAGACGTACACCACCCCCATTCTTACATAACACAAACCACAAACCACCAAAGCACGAGGTGAGCTACCCCTAGTATGTACATTTTCACGGAGGGCAATATGCATGTTTTTTTGCAGAGATTTATGTGCATATAAAAAACATGGACGAGAGGGAGAGGGAGAGGAAGAGACGGGTAGAGAGGAATATTTGTGCGTGAGGAGGGAGGACGGTAAAGCAAAGAAGGAAAGGAGGAGACAGCGATCTGGGGAGCTGGGGAAAGACCTGGAGCTCGGAATCGCCCTGGTCTGCGCACGATTTACCTGCCCCTCCGATCCCCTGACCCGTGGAGCAAGTGCAGCCAGCCTAGCCGCAGATCTCTCGCCGGGGTCCCATCGCCGCCGCCGCCGCCGCCACCGCCGCCGCTCTCGCCCCGCGGAGCCCAGCCCGCACGTGATTGACAGCGGTGCCCACGTGCCCGCGCAGCCGCCACCGACACCGAAGGGGCGGGGCCGGCCTGGTGGCGAGTGGGCGGGACCCAGGTTGGGCAGGGCCCGGGTGGGCGGGGCCGGAGGCGCGCCCCCTTTCCCCCATTGCCGGATATCCGCCTCTGGGCTAGCCTGGAACTTCAGGGCTTGGGCATGTTGTCTGTCTGCCCACTGCTTTCTTTTTTTGCACAGGCAGTTTCCTGGCTGCATAGTATTTTTAAAAATGAACGGAGAGGCAGACAGACTTGTTGCGTGTCTCTTCCACTGTCACCTCATTTGAGACATGCAGAGGCTCCTCTCCTCCGTTTTCTCTCAGGAAGGGGACGTGAGGCGAGGCTGGCCGAGCTCTGTCCAGCTGCTCAAACCTTCTCACCGCTCCGGTGCTGGGTAACTTCAGTTAAGCCTGACCCTGGCTCTAAGCCTAACCCTGACTTCTCCCCTGACCCCGACGTCACGCAGTCTGCGTGGCAAGAGAGACTAGGGAAATGAGTTTCACGATGATATTCAAGAAAGAAAACAGAAATGCATCGAGGCAAGAACCCGCGAGGGCCTCAGAAAATGTGTGTGGGCGTCGGCAAGCTAGTGTGTGTGCAGATACAGTAGCCCCTGCTGCAGGGTGCCCTGTGCAGACACTGGTAGGAGGCATTCAATCAGTTTACCAAGGGTGTGCTAAATAATAATGGTAGTGCTTAGCATATGCCGGGCATTGCGTCACGTACTTCGCATACATACATATTTATCACGTGCATATTAGATCGCTTAATCGTCGCAGAAGACACCATTACTTGTTGAAGCCCACACAGCTACTAAATGTGGGAGGTGGACTGCAGGCTGCAAGGCGACCTCCTAGAGTGGATTAAAGGTATAAGTGATGCTTTGCTGGCGATTTCCTCACCTCCACCTGAGGTTCAGGCAAAAGCTTACAAAGCAACTCTGCTCTTATTAAAGAGTGCACACAGCAGAGCAGAGGCTGAGCAATTGCTGAGAAGGCCAAGGAGGTCAGCGCTGGCTTTGTCCTCCCTGTGCCTTGGGCTCACAGCTCCGTCTCAACCCTCTTCAACGCCATTTAAGCCAGTAGGTGCCAATTATTTCTTTTTCCCTCCCTGGCCCGCACTTTTCATGAGTTTTGAGATGTTACTTGTTAGCTTGCTTTTCTAACACCCAGTGTGGGTCTGGTGAACACCTAATCATTCTTAGATTATAACATGGCTGTCCTTGAAAATCCATAAAGTTAAGCACATATGCAAAACTCCCAGGGCTGGAAAGATGTGGCTGACTTCTGTGTATATGTTGTTGGTGCCTGGTAAGTGCCCTGTGCTCTCTCTCTTCCTCTCCCTCCTTCCCTCTCTCCATACTTTCCTCTTTCCCTCTCCTAGGGATTGAAACTAGAGCCTTCACACTGAGCACCACACTCTTCCCCTTTGTTATATTTTTTCACTGAAGCAGGATTTCACTCTGGCTAAAATGCCCAGGCTGGACTCAAATCTGAGATCCTCCTGCATTAGTCTCCCAGAGTGCTGGAACTTCAGGCATGCACCAACATGCCTAGCTTCATCTTGATCTCTCTTGCTAAGGTATCTTTCCACTTAGAAATGTAGTCTAGTGAAGATTTAGAATCAGACTGATCAGAATTTCAATGCTGGGTCTGCTGCTTCAACTCTGGTCAAGTTATTTCACTACTTTTATATGCTGTTTTCATCTGCAAAATGCTTGTAATAACACCTGCTCCATAGGGTAATTACAAGAATTAAATGAGATTGTATTCATGAGGCATCTATCACAATGTCTGTTATATACTAAGTATTCAATAAATTGAAGCAGTTATATTATTTTATTATTGTTGTTATTTTACTATTATTTAGCTAAACATTGTAAGAACATATGAGTATTTTCAGCCTGAAGTCCCAAGTCTTCTAAGTTTCTCGGACACTTTTCATTTGCTTTATCTCTTGTTTTGCCAGACCCATTGCTTAGTGTGCCATCTCTGGCCTATGCCTATACAGGAGACTGGAGGCAACACAGCTCTTCCAAATACCATGAGCACAGTGACCTTTGCTTTCACCCAGTCCAAAGTCATTTAATTAGTGAGATAGAGTTAAGATATGACTTACATACTCAGACACATGTGAATGTCCTTGAGGTGTGAACCATCACCATACTCTTGCTTTATATAAGTCATAGTTTCTCTTTTTATTTTACAAACACCAGGTAACAGAAATGATTACTTGGAAGCAACTAACCTTTGACTTAGAGCATACCACACAATTTCCCTCAGTTGTATTATATGCAGACATTTAACAGTGAGTAGCTTATTAATCTATTATTCAACACTCATTGGTTGAATGTGTGCCATTTGGAGCATACAGGGCAAGGAAAAAAACAGAAGCCCTATTAAAAAAAGTTCAACAGGAGGGTCAGGGGAGGATGCTGTTTTCTGGGTTATTTTCCAGAAGGGACACTGTGATCTGGTCTCAAACTGCCTTTCTAAACTCCTACCTTATGACTTCCCTTCTAAGCCCATTCCTCATCAGACTAAACATAGCTGGCATTCTTCACACATGATTCTCCCTATTTCTTCCCCTGTAACTGTCCTCCTGCTGCCAGCGCTTCCAGTGCCAGCATCCCCAAGGAGCCTTTCTTTGATATGCCTGAGCGCAACTCATTGTTCTTTATGTTGATCACTATTGCATCCAGTCTTACCTGTCTTAAGGTACTGGTTGGATTTTTCTCTGCCTTATATTATCATTTGTGAATCTACTTAGACTTTCCTGTTAAGCTTGTGAGCATTCCAAAGAGGATGTACACACAATAACTTTGTCTTTCACACATTAACAAACACATTGCTTGTACAAATTAGTCATTGTTGGTGAATACATTGATTAGTAAATGAGTCATGTGGACACACAGCTGGGCCTGGACAGGTGGATAAGAGTTCTGGAGGAGAGGAGAGGGCACAATGACAGCTTAGGGAATGAAAAGCATAAGATTCAGCTTGCAGGTTCAGCTCCTAGGCTAGTTCCTGGGATCCAGGTCTATGAGAGCAAAAGGATGAAGTGACAGAGAGCTCTATTCACTTCCTTCACTCACCCCATGAAAGGCACAGCCTGCAGTCCCTGGACATTTCAGTGGTGAGCACCGCTTCTCCTGGTTGGCTGTGGCCTGCAGTGATTAGCATGCTCTCCGTGTTCCCAGACAGAACAGATGTCTGTCTCCTTTGTTCTACTTAATGATGATGGCAGGTTCCCAGTGATCAAGATCCAATTTCACTTATTCTGAAATGTTGTGGCTAAGAAATTCTCTTTGGCAGTTTCTGAGAGCCAGCTTCCAGCTTTGCAGAGAATCTGTGCTTTGTAGCTTAGCATGGTGGGAAGGTACAGAAGGAGGCAGCAGAGTGGAGGCAGCACTTCACCTTGGGTGGAACAGCGATTGGAGAGTCCTGGACATGCCCATGCCCACAGGCTTTCCTGTGCTCCCTTTTGTGCTGTTATCAGTAGGAACCTCTGCTCATCTTGTAAATCCGCTGCTGTTAGAAAATATTTGGCATAGGAAATAGTTTCTGTTTGGGAGGGAGAATGTATTGGCTACTACTCTAGCTATCAGTAAGCCAATCAGATCCTTTTTTGCAATCCAGTGATTTGGGGGCTAGGAAAGGAAATAGGTTGAGCTAGTAAGAGCTATCTAGAGCCCCCAAACCTGCCCTAGGATCTCAGAAGGGTCCATGTCTGTGATGTTAACAAGGAGGTAGAGTAGAGGATCCCGAAGGCATAGACAAACTTCATCTGCTGCTTGATTTTGTTTGGAGCCTGAGAGTATTTGATTTGTGTAACAGATATTATCCTGGGCGCTGTGTGGCATGGTGTGGCTATGTACTTCTGCCCCATCTTACTCCTCCTTGTATCTCTCCCAGGATCTCTCTTAACCCCATTGTTCACGGCCTCCTGTCTCATCCAGCCTAGGTGCCACGGGCAGCTATGTAGGGCCGTGTGCTGCAAAGCTGGTTCTATACTCAGGGTTTAACATTTTGTGGTCGCCATCTTGGAACTCTTAATTTTTCCTCTGAATTTGTATGCTGTAAATAAAACTTAGTAGGAAAACATGTCATGTCTTGGGAATTTGGAGCCTCAGTTTATATGTGGTCCCATACCTCTGCCTCCCCACTTTCTAGGAACAGATTTCCTGCTGCCGTTGCCTCCAGCCCTGCTCTGGGCCTGGCACCTATACTTAGAGGACCCCGAAAGTCATCCTTTGTTCACTGATCCACAGTATTAAACAGCAAATGAAAACCACCTTCAGAGACTGGGAGAAAGACCAATGGAAAAAGGATAAAGATTGTTTCCTGCCTTTTGGACAAGGGGTTCTGTGGTGTTCGCTTGCACTAGGCTTTGCAAATCACACAGCCAGTCTTGAACATGTCAGTGAATATCTCCTTCCAGGCCTTTATGCTGTTCTGTTTCATGCTTGGAATGCCATCCTGGAATTCTTTTGCTTATCAACTCCTCTTCACCTTTCGGTGTTAATTTCTGGCTCCCTTCTTTTAAGAAGTCTAACTTCTGGTCATCTTTTCTGTAGAACTGATTTTACTGTGCTAAATAGTAAACTATTATGCTAAAGCAGCATCAGTGCACTGGGAAGGGCAGTAAGACAGCGTTTCCTGTAAGTAGCTGTTGCATGCTCAAAACATGGGATAACTGGGTCAGCCAGAACATGGCAGTCAAACTGGGTGTCAGCTGCAGAACTGATGCCTTCCCTTGGCTGTGGTTTTTGTAGTTGCTGGATGAGGGGACCCAGGATAGCAGGGGGTCATGTGGGATCACAGCTGCCTACAGGCTGGCACAGGAGCGTTGCCTTCTTTTGGCAACCTGGACAGTCCCACGGGGCTTTCCAGCTGAATGTCATCCCTGCTGTGATTCTGGACAAGATGTTCAATGGCCTGTCTGGTTCCTGTCCTTGAACTGCTTTATAAGTAGGTTCCACTGCATGATCAAACCATCAAATG